TTTGCAAGAATATCAAAGAAAGCGACGAGAGCAAATGCGTTTGATGAAACTGGCGCGTAGAGGCGGCAGTTACTATGTACCTGATGCTCCTAGATTGGCATTTGTGATCCGTATTCGTGGGTATGTCTTGTACTTTTTAATTTGTTGTTTCCATTTTGCTGCGTTCGCTTTGTTTCAGAATTCCAGTTTCATTCAAGTATATTAGTAAAGCAGTGATTCTTTATTATGATCTTTTTATCTATGGCTGAAGTATAACTTCTATCTTTTGTTAATTTCGAAGCCAGCGCCGTAAACTAAACTTGTAAAACTTTACTGCTGGTCACAAGGTAGATTGACATGTTATCTCTACCGGCAGTATTCGGCTACGAATCGCGCCAGTCCATCGTTGACGTCTAACCGCAAGACAACGATTACATTGGTGGTTTTTTCTCTTCAGAGTGGCTGGTCGCTCTCCCCTCGTCGTTAGGCCCTCATAAGGCATTTCTAAGGAACGAACTTTTCAAGCTCGAACCCAGCTGCGCCTTAGTGGTCTCATCGTGTCCTATCCGTGACTGCGTACTGAAGTTGGTTCCTCTATCTGCAATACGGGGACGCGCCAGATGGCTAGCAGCTAGACATACTAAGACTAATATGTATGACTTACTACTGCCACTGCACGTTTAGTCAGCTGCTTTACTAAAAATGCATAATGTCAGCAGTTGTTGAATAAGCCATACTTATATCGCTTTTATATGTGATTGAACTCTCTCTGTCAGCGTATAACATTTGTCATCATAGGTGAGAAAAGGCTTATACATTAATTAGGTGTTAAATAGCTTCGCATTACTGACAGGTACTTTTGTCTCCACTATAGATCTGTTAATTTGAGCCTAACCATGCTCGTTTGGCCAGTTGGTGAATTTGCTTCTGCATCTAGCTTGCCGCCACAAGCGAATGTTACCTCAAGTTACGTAAAGTTTATCCAGCCAGCCGTTTCAGTACCATTCATTTATCTACAGCAAACGCTGAACGGTCTTTATCGATTGTACCACAGGCTGAACTTTTTTGTCAGGCTGATTTTCATCCTGACCGCATCGCATGTAGGTATGAGCCGATTAAATGCAAGTGAGAAGTCTGCAAGAGAGGAAGCGAATATGACATACAATCCGTATTCACTCGAGCATTCCCAGCAGTATCGTCATCTAGTGTTTAGGCTGCGTCTGATGATCCAGCTCAAAAAGTATGAAAAGAAGCAGGTAAAGTACGCAGTCTCCT